TACATAAATAGCTATTTTATATTGTCAATCACGTCGCAAAAGTAATACTTTTGTGACGTTTGAAAAAAAATACTATTGTTATAATACACAGTATCCGAGATATTTACTACACTATCACATTACCAACTTTACTTTCTCCCATAACATACGTACAATACACCCGGCTTGTGTCCTGTCACCCGTCACAGCACACGTTTCAAAAACTTTTCTCGCTCGCCGACCTCCCATACGTGGCGTGTCGCTCTCCAACGCGACGTCTCTATTTTATCTGCGCGCCCGTCCTCGCCAAATTTATTCATATATTTGAATAAGCCCGGATTTTCCGAATAGGAAAAAGCCACTTTGCCCGGAAAATTCCCCAGCGGATTTCCGGTGCATATTGAGACGCCGGAGTCAGGGCCTCCGGCTCTTGTCCCGGTGTGTCTTAGTTTTTTTTTCTGCTTTTTTTATGGAGATGTGGGCAAATATAAAGAAGTTTATTGATTACAGAGAAAAAACTCTTTTTTGGTTCTAAATTAGAGTGAGTAAGAACCTTTGAATAACTGACTTACTTAAAGAACTACTATTACTTTCTTACAGAATAAAAAGATTAAGGAAGGAGCAGATCAAAGAATTAATATGGCGAACTTAAATTCCGGTTTATCAGTGCCGTTTCTTTATAAGGGCCAATTTTATTCAAAATGTGTAAAAATATAACGTAAAGTGAGGACCCACCTATTTAAAAATAAACGTATTTCTTAAATTTGATACATTTAATTTAAGACATTCTACAGGGTGGTCCGAACTGTATTCCGGAAACTTCGGCAGCATATTCTGTAGATAAAAATAAGTAAAAAAGTTCGTATAAATGTATGTCCTAAAATGCTTAGTTTCGGAGATACAGGGTATAGAAGTTTCATTTTTATTTTGATTTTTTCCAAATAATTCCTGAAGTAACATCAATATTTGGATTAAAATTGGTGGATAGGTGTTTTTTGACATGAGAAATTTGATTTTGATGTTAATATGACTCGCATTTGTAGGTGGCGCCATCTACATGCGTTTTAACTGTTTTGAAGAGTAATAACTTTTCGTCGGTACCTGTATAAAACTACTGAATAAAAAAGTATACATTTACGACTTGTTTTACATAAAAAAAGTCTCTTGCTAAAAATCGCTACGAGTAATGGTTCTCGAGATATTTGGAATCGAAATTATCAATACCTGTCATCATTGACATAAATTAAACATGTTGACTAAATAGTTATTAAACTGAAATCATAAATTTGAAATTTTTTTGTGTCAAAAGTTCAAAAGAAACTATTTAATCACAATTTTACGCAGAAAAACTTATAATTAATTTAAAAAAAATAAAAATTTATTATTTCAGTCAAATAACTATATCAACGTGTGCTTATCTTTTGTCAATAATGACATGGTATTGACTATTTCCATTCTAAATATCTTGAGAACGGTTGCTCGTAGCGATTTTTACCAAAAGACATTTTTTACATAAAAAGTCATGGAAATGTATATTTTTTTAGTCAGTGGTTTTATACAGGTACGGTCGAAAAGTTATTACTCTTCAAAAGAGTTAAAACACATGTAGGTGGCGCCCCTTATAAATAGTAGTAATTTTGCCATCAAAATCAAATTTCTCGTGTCACAAAACTCCCAGATGCCAATTTTCATCCAAATATTGACGTTACTTCAGAAATTATTGAGAAAAATCGAAATAAAAATGAAACTTCTACACCCTGTATTTATATACAAACTTTTTACTTATTTTTTTCTGCAGAATATGCTGCCGAAGTTTCCGGAATACAATTCGGACCACCCTGTATGTACATAAATAATTAGTGATAGGATAACGGTTCCACATGAGTCGCGTTACAACAGCGACCGTTCCAGAAAAATTGCGCGACAAAATACCGCGATTTTGTAACCGAGGTTCCGACTCCCAAAGTGTCTCTAATTAGGTATTTAATTAGGATTTATATTTTTAATCAATAATTGAGAGTGGCTATACAAGTTTCCCTTTTTTTTCAATCATATTTTCTTCTTTATTTATTCTTATTTTTGTAAAAAGGTTTATTGACCTAACATGTATTTATTATCAATCATATACTACAAAATACACTACTTAATTTACTTGAATTTAATAGAACGCCCATGGAGAGAGGTGTTTGCTTTATAGAAAATGGTCCTATATTTTCAAAATTTTCGATGCTGAGAAATACGAAAATAAAATAATACAATAGTTAGCTGCTTGGTGACCGGTTTCGGCAATTCCAGCCATCATCAGACCTTAAAAATAGATATTAAACAATGAAACTAAAAAAAATTGTATAACAGCAAATAAAATATTTTTATTTTATTTCATTTACTTTTGCGTTTCATCTTTCAAACAACGCTATTTTTTACCATGCCTAGTACATACCAAAAATCGCTATTTCGAAAGTAACGTAGCGACGGGAGCACCAACGCCAATAGTAACCGACCAAATCGCGACAGGCAAAACCGGAACCCTAGAAGCGCTCCAGCCACTGCTGGAACGATGTACGTCGCCGCCGAGGTCGAGCGTCGATAATCAGTTACAGCAGGGATCAGTTACTCCTGTTCGCGACAGGCGGAACTACGGCTCTAGGAGCGCAACGGCTGGAGCGAATACGCGCGACGCTACGTACATACCAGTTCCAGTTACTACTGTTGGCGACCGACGAAATTGCGACGGCTGGAGCTAAACACGTCGCTATGCGGTTACTACGGTTCGAGCTAACTTCAAGAGCGATTATGAATAATTTATTTGCCAATTAGAAATACTTTATAATTTTGTCGTCGTTCATTAGTAACAGGTTCCTGATTCGTTGTGGAGCGCGACACGACGCGAAGTTACAAAAAAATATATCTATCTATCTATCGATTCAGCCTCTTCGGTCCATCGTTGGACATAGGCCTCCCCCAATCTCCTCCACTCTTCCCTCTCTGTCGCCATGCTCATCCATCTTGTGCCTGCATGTTTCCTCAGATCGTCCGCCCATCTCATCTGGGGTCTTCCTCTACTTCTTCTATTCTCCCAGGGCCTCCAGTTTACGATGCATTTGTTCCATAGATCATCCTCCCGTCTGACATTGTGACCGGCAAACTTCCATTTCAATTTTGCTACTTCACTTCTAACATTCCTTACTTTAGTTTTTCCTCTGATCCACTCATTCCTTTTTCTATCTGCCAGCCTTATATGTAGCATTTGTCTTTCCATAGATCTTTGAGATTTGGTTACCTTATCCATATTTGATTTTGTCAGTGTCCAGGTCTGGGATCCGTAAGTAAGTACAGGAAGTACACATTGATTATATACTTTGGTTTTGAGGTACTGTGGATATCTTTTGTTTTTCAATATGTAACCCAATTTTCCAAATGCTGCCCAGGCCAGTCTTACTCGTCTCTTTATTTCAGCTGTTTGTCTTTTTTTTTCAGTTTAATCATTTGTCCCATATATATATATACTCTTCAACTTATTACTATTTTTTCTTGGTTTATTTTGGTTGTTATGTTTTCATCTGTGTTTGTTATGATTTTAGTTTTAGTGTAGTTCATATTTAGGCCTATTTTTCTAGCTGCTGTATCCAGTTCTTCCAGCATTTCTACCAGTTCTTCTTTCTTTTCTGTTATTAAGGCGATATCATCCGCATATCTTAGGTGATACAAGTATTGTCCACATATTTTGATACCTTTTTTTCCCAGTCTAAATTTTTGAAAACGTCTTCTAATGCCTGGTTAAAGAGTTTAGGGGATATTGTATCACCCTGTCTGACACCTGATTTTAATTGTTGTTGTTGCCTCGCTATATATGTTGGCTATTAAGTCTGCGTATCTGTAGTCTATCCTGCTATTTATTAAGGAATTTTTTACTGCCCAGTGCTCAATACTATCAAAAGCCTTTTCAAAATCTACAAATGCAATATATAGAGAGATGTTGTATTCACTGGCTCGTTCTATTAGTATTTTCATAGTTAATAAGTGGTCAACTGTACTGTATCCTTTTCTGAAGCCTGCTTGTTCTTTTGCTTGGTATCCGTCAAATTTTGTTGTTAGTCTATCGGTTAATATTTTCGTGAAGAACTTATAAATTACGTTAAGGAGTGTTATAGGACGATAGTTTTTTAGATCTACCCTATCAATTTTTTATGTAGGATGATGGTTATAGATTCCTTCCAGTCGTTTGCTTCCAGTCGTTTACAAAAAAATACCGCTCCAAAATCGCGTTATTCAAGTTATTTTACTGATTTGTTTTAATTGAAAATGAGCAAATTGTGATAAAAAAAAAGTTGAATAATCGACTTTTTTATTAAATAACTATTATTTTTTAGATGTACTCTGCAAGAAAGATTGCAACAGCTCATGCAAGGCTGTTTGAATAAGCAAGCACGAGAACTGAAGAAAGGAAGAACGAGAAGTGGATATTATAGAAAGGCAAGGACCCAAAATAAATTCTGAAACTGAAAAATAAAGTTCAGATTCTGAAGCACTGAATACAGTATTACCAGAGAATCGGCACTGCAGAATTGTTATAGGCGAAAAAAAAAGGAACAACTCGTTACTCTTTGTACAGTGTCAATTTCGTATGAGCACACACAAATATTTTGTAATCACTGTTATACGAATTGATTTTTTCATTACTATTAATTATTTTTGTTTTTGAATAATATTTATTAATTTGTTTTTTGTGTGTTTTATGTTATATATTTTATGTTTATGTTTGTGATATTTGTAATGAAGCAAGTCAATAAAGAATTTTTATTTTAATTATCATATTACTTCATGTCTTTACACCACTAGCAACGCTAAGACTTCTTGAATTTAGCATGCGGACTCAGAGTGCGCGCGCGATCTTTCATGTAACAAATAAAGCACGACATCCAAGAGGTTAAATGAATTTCATAAATGATTGGTTGCCTTTAAATATGTTGTCCAAGTAATCATTGAACAATGCCTCAAAACTCTTTTTTTTTTCTTTTCAGACATTCCAAATTTTAGTGGTCCAATTATGAATGTGACAATACCGCTGGGACGAGAAGCTGTCTTAGAATGTGGTGTGGATAGCCTGTCTGTTTATAAGGTAAATATTGTTAATAATTTACATTGTTTTTTTAACGACTAGATCTGGAAAAACATACACTGAGATGCAAAAAAATCGCACATTGAAAACATTTTCGTCAAATTTGAAGTGTTATATTTTACCTATTCTTCCCAATTTTCATAATTTTTTTGGCAACCTGTACACAGGGTTGTTCACCACATACGACACGGAGTATTGTAGCTAAACGATTCGATTTTTACAAATTGTAAGTTTTGGGTTCGTTGAAGGACTATTAGAGGTACAATTTAAAAATATTTTTACAAATAAATAAAAAATATCAAAGTTGTCTTTTTTTTTTTTAATGGAACACCCTGTATATTATTACATTTTTAGTTTCTACGATTAAAACAAAGGTAAATTTAATTAAAGTTTATCACACTTAAATTTTACCGTTTTCGAAATATTTTCAATTTTGTAAAATTGCAGTAAAATTTTTAAGGCCAAGCGTATGAAAGTTTTTAATACTAAATATTTACTGAAGTTTATTTATTGATCAGTTATTGTGTTGCAATAATAAAAATAATACTACCTCATACACAGTGTCTAAAATTTTATTTTAAATAATTTCTAATTTTAAACGGCAATAACTTGTTTAATTTAAATGGAACACCCTGTATATTTTCGGAGAATCAGATGTACAGTGTGTCCCATTTTGGTTGAAATCATAGGGTATCTCCGTTATTAGTGAAGATAGAAGGGTGTGGTTTGCACAAACCTGTCCCACTATTCCGTGAAACGGAAAATGCTGCAAACAAAATTTTCATAGCCCTCTTAGTTTCTGAGCTACAGGGTCTTTTCGAAAATTTGGGGCACCCCCTGTATCTCTGTTATTGTTAAAGGTATCGAGAAGGCGAAAACTGCTTATTGTAGAACTTTTTACGTAAAATACAGTGGCGTAGTCTGTTTTACTACCAAAAAAATATTTTTGAAAATATGAACTAAAGTTATGTTTTTTCAAATGGAACACCCTGTATATTTATAAATCATATGATCTGTCTTGCTATGAACTTCTCAAAAATATATATCACTCTATATTTATTTTCACTATTTACTGCAATATTTAAAATATATCATTTTCTTATTAGTAGGCCGTGATAAATAACAAAAAATCAAAATGATATTTACTAAAATAGTCATACACATTAAAATTTATTTGGGATTGATATATTTTACTTTTGAAATAACTGTTACCACTGAACCTGTGAATATATTTTTCTTTTTTTTATAACGGAATGGGTTTGCAAATATCTAAAAGCTTGAATTATTAAAGCATTTTTCAGGTGTTCGACATTGTTGTAGTGCCCACGATATATTTCGTATTTCAAAAATCCTCAAAATCAGAAATCGAGAAAGGAAAAGTTCGGGAATCGAGGAGGCTATAAATATGTGTTCATTAGTTCCAATTCATTGATTTGAAAAATAATAATTTAACAGTATTCTAATATTTTCATGAGTTATGTTCCCCATCTTGCTGAAAGTATATTTCACGTAAATTAGCTAAAGGAATATCTAAAATTTCCGATACGATAGATTATTCGTACGTATACACGTATTCCAAGATAGCAACACTACAAATAGCGGTAGGGAGTTAAGTTTCCCTAATATATAAAGAATTTATTAGCGGCTCCCAAAATAAAACAAGAGACAGATAGCAGTATACTTTTAATAATTCTTTAGTTTTTTATTATCAATCATGGCCCACTAATAAATATGATCTTTTAATAAAAACTTTTAAATATTGCAGTAAATAGTGAAAATAAATATAGAGTGTTATATATTTTTGAGCAGCTTATGGCAAGACACATCATATGATTTATAAATATACAGGGTGTTCCATTTAAAAAACATAACTTTAGTTCATATTTTTAAAAATATTTATTTGGTAGAAAACCAGACTACGCCACTCTATTCTACGTAAAAGTTCTACAATAAACAGTTTTCACCTTCTCGATACCTTTAACCATAACAGGGATACGGGTGTCTCAAATTGCAAAACTTTCAAAAAGACCCTGTAGCTCGGAAACGAAGAGGGCTATGAAAATTTTGTTTACGGCATCTTCCGTTTGACAAAAAAAGTTATACAGGTTTGTGCAAACCGCACCCTTCTATCTTCACTAATAACAGAGATACCGTATGATTTCAACCAAAATGGGACACCCTGTACAACTTAATTGTCTATCAAATTGTATTATACCATTTTTATCTATCCCTTCAAGTTTTCGTAAAAAAATGCATTTTCTTTTAATTTAGACCTCATTTATCAATATACCCATGGAATATTGAGAAATGATTTTATTCATAAACTATTTTAGATACCTTGAGAAAGATTTGCATAAAAAATCGAAACTTCGGCAAATAAATTATTTAAAAGCTTCCAGAAATCATTTAATTTTTAATAAAGTAACCTATAACCAAGAAAATCACAATTGATATATTAATTAATTATACCACCATTATTTCCGCCCAATTATTAATTAATTACATACTTAATTGTGTTACTTAATAAACTATTCTAAATAAATGTGGATTTGAATCAGAAATAAATATGACAATAAGTTATGAAAATGAACGTCTCTTTTGTTATAAATAAGCATTCGTGAAAAAATAAAATAAAATTTTTATGGTGTTACTTTTTACCACACTATCTAATACCCACACAAAATTCAGTTTTTTAGTATTTGGAGCAAGTATTATTTAGTAGTGTTATTAATCAACGCAAAACAGTCAATTAATGTAGTTTGAGTATTAGAATCATATTAATTAGGTTCTCTTTAACAAATATTTAAACATTTTTTTAACTATATTGACAATATTAGTATCTGTACTCTTTAAAAATAATCTAAAATGTCAATATTTCATGGGTATATTAATAAATGAGGTCTAAATTATAAGAAAATGCATTTTATATGAAAACTTGAAGAGATGGGTAAAAAGTGGTATAATACAATTTGATAGACCATTAAATTGTCCATCGGATTGTCATAAAATATACAAGGTGTTCCATTTAAATTAAACAAGTTATTGCCGTTTAAAGCTAGAAATTATTTAAAATAAATTTTTAGACACTCTGTATGAGGTAGTATTATTTTTATTATTGCAACACAATAAGTGACCAGTAAGTAAACTTCAGTAAATATTTAATATTAAAAACTTTGATAGTCTTGGAGAAATGAAGCCTTAAAATTTTTACTGCAATTTCACAAAATTGAAAATATTTCAAAAACGGTAAGGTTTAAGTATGACAAACCTTAATAAAATTTACCTTTATTTTAATTGTAGAAACTAAAAATGTAATAATATACAGGGTGTTCCATTTAAAAAAAGACAACTTTGATATTTTTTATTTATTTGGGACACTCTGTATCCTGTAAAAATATTTTTAAATTGTACCTCTAATAGTCCTTCAATGAACCCAAAACTTACAATTTGCAGAAATTTAATCGTTTAGCTACAATACTCTGTGTCGTATGTCGTATGTGGTGAACAACCCTGTATAAATGACTAGCTTTAATTCTTAAAGTCTGTAATTTGGCATTGGGCTTTATTATACAGAGTTTATCAAATGGTTGTTTTTTATCCTAGACAAAACTTTTGGCACAATAACACTTCAAATTTATAATTTCAGTCTAATAACTATTTAGTCAACATGTTTAATTTATGTCAATGATGACAGGTATTGATCATTTCGATTCCAAATATCTCGAGAACCATTACTCGTAGCGATTTTTACCAAGAGACCTTTTTTTACGTAAAAACGTCGCAAATGTATATTTTTTAATCAGTAATTTTATACAGGTACGGACGAAAAGTAATTACTCTTTAAAATAGTTAAAATACATGCAGTTGGCACCTCCTACTAATAGGAGTCATATTGACATTAAAATCAAAAAATCTTCTTGTCAAAAAATTACCAGACACCGATTTTCATCAAAATATTGACTTTACTTCAAAAATTATTTGGAAAAAATCGAAATAAAAATAAAACATCTACATCGGAGATACAGGGTTCTCCGAAACTAAGCATTTTAGGACAGACATTTATACGAAGTTTTTTTTATTTATTTTTATCTGTAGAATATGCTGCCGAAGTTACCCGAATACTATTTGGACCACCCTGTATATCATAATGATAATTAATTTTTTTTATAATTGATAAACAGTTTCTGCGCCTTCAAATAAGAATTTTAAAAAATAATTCTTAAATTTCCAATAAACATAATTTGATATTTTTGCCCCTGAGAAATTCATAAATCTTACATCTCTAGCCCTAACCATTTCATAAGTAGGTACCTACTGAAATAATATAAAAAGAAAAAAAATCCTTCGTATCTCCTTCTCCCAGCAACTAAGTTTCTTCTTCCGAATTCCTTATATCCTCGTTCATCCTGCGCCGTTTTTAAATTGAATTCGGAAGTGACAGTTTTAAAGCCAAAAGACTCTCGCGAATTCCTCCTCCAACTAATAATTAGGAGGCAGTAGAAGAGCGGGAATCGACCCTCCAAACTTTCGCACAATTAAAACGGACGCCACTCAGACAGCCTTAACTCGCTCTCCCAGTCTCCATTACGTTGACGTTTAGAGACTCTACTTTAAATTTAAAAACAGGCGGACAGAAGGGGAGGAAAGTTTCCAGAGAGATGGAAAAAGAAGGAGAGTAGCTCACCTGTAAAACCGGATGGGATGCGTTGGTGGGGAAGATCGTATTGTTTCAAGGAGAGAATTTGCGCAGGAAAGGAGAATGGATGGGTTGTTAAAGTGGATAGAGTTTTTGACAAGCTGGAAAAATAAATTTCCTTTTTAATTTCGGAGATAATGTAGATGAAGGCAATTAAAGAAAAATTTATTATACGAGTTCTTATGCAATAAATACACAGAGAGGTCTTTTATACGGGGCGGTACGAACTGTATTCCGAAAACTTCGCAGGCATATTCTGCAGATAAAAAAAAGAACTATTTTATTCTTATAAATGTACATCAAT